TTAGGCCAGGGGCCCATATTAAGGCTGCATCTCACTTCTGACTATGCCCACAGTCCTCCAACTGGTCATAAATCAAGAAGGGCCATCTGCAAGAGGGCAGGATGGCTGTTCACGTGCCACGCGCTTGCCCTGCGTAGGCACGGGAAGCCGAGCGCCTCTCGGAGCTTTGTGCCCGGGCCACCTGCAGCGACAGCCCAGGCTGCCAGGACACGGGGTACGTGGCTTCTGGGCGCATGTTTCAGCTGGGGGAATGGAGAGGCCCAGCTTAGAGGAGATGAGGGAGAGGGTCTGGGGACCCGTGTGTGTGTGAGGCAGAGAAGGAAGGAGAGGAAGGAGGAGGGCGATACAAAGGAAGAGAGGAAGAGACAGAGGGAGAGCCAGAGAGAAAGAGGGAAAGGGAAACAGAGCAGAGAGGTGGACAAAAAGACAAGGAAAAAAAAAAAAAAAAAGACAGAAGAAACAAAGACAGAGAAAATAGAAATGGTGAGAGAGAAAGAAATGGCAAGAAACAGTGAGGGACCAAAACAGCCTGAGAAAGAAAGTGAGAGGACAACAGAGATGGAAGGAAAGAAAACGAGACAAGGAAAAAAAGGCGGGCCACAGAGAAATGGAGGGGAAATGCCGAGAGAGTGGGGGATGCTGATGGCCATAGGAAGAGATACAGGGAGGAGGGCAGGAAGGGGACAGAAACTGGGAACAGAGAAAGGGAGAGAGGGGTGCACTCACATTGGGCACAGACATCCCAGAGGACAGGAGAAAGAGGATGGGAGACAGAAAGGGAGAGGGAGGCAGAGAAGAGAGAGCTGAAATATGTTGTGGAGAAGTGCGACATAGAGACAGCAGTTGGTAGCCCAGCCCCAAGGCTGCAGCTCAAGCATGTTCTTGGCAGCTGAAAAAGGTGAGGTGCAAAGAGTTGTGAAACTGCCTCTGGATGCTCCTATTAAAAAAAAAATGGGAAGGAACTTAGCACTTCCTTTAAAAATAATGTCACCAGAATGTGTGACTCGGTTATTCATTTTTTTTATTTTAAGAAGAAACATACCTGATTGTGGGAACTTGCTGAGATCTAAACAAATAAAGACCTTCATCTGCACTGCAGTTCTGCTTATAGTAAAATACCAAAGATGCTGCACTCCTAACACTACTGTATTAACACAGGCATGAGACAAGAGCTTCACTCTAGCCTGTGACATAAAACACACAAATATATGGGAAATAGATGAATAAAGCTTTATTAGCACCAATATAAAATAGCTGCTTAAAGATTTTGAAATAGGAGCAAGGCAGAAACATGGGAGGATGAGGCACTGAGTACGGGGCAAATGGGGAGTCAGGCCTCTTTAATATCTTTATCCATGATGTGGATGAGGGGATTGAGTGCACCCTCAGCACATTTGCAGTTGAGAGAAAGAGTTCATCTGCCTGAGGGTAGGAGGGCTCTATAGGGGGATCAGGACAGGCCGGATAGATGGGCTGAGACCAAGCGTACGAGGTTCATCAAGGCCAAGGGCCGGGTCCTGCATGTCAGTCACAACAACCCCGTGCAGCACTGCAGGCTTGGGGCAGAGGGGCAGGAGAGCTGCAGGCAGGAAAGGACCTGGGGCTGCTGGTCGGCAGCAGCTAAAGATGAGCCAGCAGCGAGCCCAGGGGCCTGGCCTGCGTCAGGAACAGAGCAGCCAGCAGGAGCAGGGAAGGGATCCTCCCCCTGAACCCGGCGCTGGTGAGGCCGCACCTCGAATCCTGTGTCCAGTTTTGGGCCCCTCGCTACAGGAAGGACATGGAGGTGCTGGAGCGTGGAGCAAAGCTGGTGCAGGGGCTGGAGCAGAGACCGTCCGAGGAGCAGCTGAGGGAGCTGCGGTTACTTAGTCTGGAGAAAGGGAGACTCCGGGGAGGAGTCTCTACAACTGCCTGGAAGGAGGTTGCAGTGAAGCGAGGGTCCCTCTCTTCTGCAGAATAAATATGGATAGGACAAGAGGAAATGGCCTCAAGTTGCATCAGGGCAGGTTCAGGTTGGACATCAGGAAGAATTTCTACATGGAAAGAGTGGTGAAGCAGTGGAACAGACTGCCCAGGAAAGTGATGGAGTCACCGTCCCTGGCAGTGCTCAAGAAACGTGTAGATGAGGCACTTGGGGACATGGTTAAGAGACAGGGCCGCTGCAGAATTTACAGCTGGACTCCATGATCTTGAATGTCTCTTCCAACCATAACTATTCTAGGATTCTGTCTATGATTAAAAAGAAGCAGGCTAACAGTGCCTGGCAGGGCTTAACGCAATCCCTCCTTGTCTCATTTATTATTCTCCCTGCCCATTCAGCACAGCTTCCCTCTCCATCACCCCTAGGACAACAGCAGCTGCTATTCCAAACAAAAGCTGCACCAAGGTATTCAAACAGAGCTAAAACCAAGCACGTTTGACGGCCACATACACGAACCACAAAACAGAGCTACTGCGACTATCTAAAGCTAAGCATGGAAGAAATAATCAAGAAACTTCAGGATTTTAGTTAAACAAAATGCAGAATGATGACTTTAAATTGGCCCTGCTGAAGTGCTACAAGAAGAAAAGCAGGTAAAAATAAATGGGGTAAAAATGCATAGTTGTTTTACATAGCAATTTAATCTGGAACTGCAAATGCTATAATGCTGTAATCATGGTCTGCAGTCATTTTTCAGGGCTACTGATGGAGAAAAGTGCAGAAATTCAGCCTTTAACTATTAGAAATATCACTATATGACAGCTATCTAATGCATTAAAACTAAATAGCTGTAGTGTATCAAAGTTGAAAGTTTATGACAGACCAAGTAAAAAAAATATTGGAATACCTTTTGTCCTCAATTTCTTCAAGTTAAATAATCAAGACTAAAATAATAAAAATACAGACTCTTTAATTCAAAGTGTGTTGTAGGCACTGTAATTTGACAGACAGACACATCAGGATTATACCTTCTGGGAAGCACCCCTCACTTTGCAGACAGGAACAGACTGACCCGTGAAGTCGCTTGCCAGGCCATGCAGTCAGTCCATTCAGTAGGAGACGGAAGCATCTCGCAGATGAACGAAGGCAGATGGAATTAGCTGAGCCTAGAGCAGAAGCCAGCGCCTTGACCAAGCTCCTCCCTCCATCTGCTAACACTGACCTACTGCTGGCTCATCTACTCTGCTTCTCCTGAGTTCTTGTTCCCTTCATCTTCTTTCCTTCCTATCATAACAGCACCCCAGTTTTAATTTGTCCCAAAATCCTGACTGCCATTAGCTTCCATCCCACTGATGCATTGGACCTCTGCTGCCTCTCTTGCTCTTGTTCCTGGAGCATGAATTCCCCTTCCTAAGACTTCTCACGTTAAGACTCAGTCCCTTTGTGGAGCCTCAGGAGCGAGGCTAAACCCAGGCTAAGTCCTGCCTAAGGCCCAGGCCACCTCTTACCACGCTGCACAACACTCCCTTCTGACTCACCCAAGAGGGCTACTTTGGAAAGCTGCTTCCACAAGTCACAGACTTGTGCTACAACGATGTAGCACACAATCTTAGCGTAAATGGGTGCTCCTGGCTCCCTGCACTCTACAACACCGGCAAGTCTCTGAAGCTCTACACCGTGAATGAGACAATAGCCCTCATATTTTTTGCTTCCCTGCTGCTCCTTGGTAATACAAGGAAGTCCATATTCAATTACCCTAAAATAGTATCTGACCTTGGGAAAATAATCTCAGCTTTCATCGTCAAAGGAACAGAGAGAGACACTGGTGCCATCATGGGCAGCGTAACTCAGGCAAGGGTTAACTGGTATGAAGAGTTCAAAACCTTATTTCCTCTGTCTGCAAAGCAAGTATAAACTAACATCCTAGTTCATACAGTCATTTAAAAACGTGCTGCATCAATGTTTGCAAATGCTGTGAAAGACTTTGGGAAATAGCCTGAAGAAAAGCAAAGTATTCATATTTTTATTTTGAATAAGTCTGACTAGTGCACCTAGCTGTCATTTTTTTGTGCCTGATTAGTGGCAATAGGCAGTTTCCCATTTAATTCCAGGCAGCTGCTAGAGAAGAGCTGCAGGCAGATGCAATCTGGAGACTGCGGAACTCAGCTCAATGCCATTTCTACGGCAGCATTTATTCTCCTCTACTCCCATTTATTATTAATTTGTATTTATATCTAACTCTTGCCTGTAGTTAGCCTCTGCCAGAGGCTTTAATCATTAGAAGTAACTAGGAGGAAGAAAATGGAAAGAAGTGGAAAGAAGTAACTGCCAGGAATTGGGCTTTTACCCCTCCTTATAGTTCTGGCGAGGTGAGAAATGATACAGAGCCTGGGATATGTAGAAAAACAACAGCTGGCAGAGCAGGGCAGAACAGCAGGCCTGTTTGTCAAGTCTGCTACATCTTTAGCACTAGAGGTGTGAAGGAAACTGCCCTATCACAGCTCGTTCCTTCTAAGCAAGCTTGCTTGGTTCCTGCACTTTGCAGAGCTTTACATCCCTTCTACATTTCTAGCCATTCAACAACAGATGGTCTTGAATTGGATTTCACATTTTCTGAATCCACTAACCCCTTGGTTTCAGTAAGATCACTGAGTTCACACTGAGTTCCACAGTATAAAAATATACTTTTCCCTGTCAACTCTCAATGCACTGTCTTTTAAGTTGATATAAGTACAAAGAAAGAGAAATGGGAGTACCTGGAGAGATTTTTCCCTGCCCTCTCCAAAGTAAACAATTGTAATTAAACCCGTGGAATTAATACTATTTGTTTTCCACTCATAACTTTTTGGGTTTCAAAATCTTTTTCATCTCCTGCATGTTTTTCTTTTATGACTTCTGAGTAGAGCTGAACAGTTTGTTCCAGGGGGGACAACACCAATATTTTAATAGTGGCACTCTGTATTTTTCAAATCATTCCTTATCCATCTTTACATTTTATTCACTTGTTTTTCCTTCACTTTACTGTAAATGAGAAGCCCACTCAGTATCATCTTTCTGCTGTAGGTAAGATTAATGTAATTCACTGCAAAGATTGTTCATAAATGTTCCAAAATTGAGAAAAAGACATCAAATATACATGCTGTGCATGATAACATTTCCCCCAGCAGTGTGGGAGATACTGAATTTATTGCACACATCCCTCAAAAGTTCCCAGATATCCAGGAGGCCTGCAAGTCTAAGAATGAGTCTTGATCTCAAGTTAGATTTTGGAAATTCTTCCCCAGGTCTTTTCCAGCAGAAGTTTGCTCCAGCAGTTTACCTGGCCAAAGCGCGACTTCGTTTTATTCTGCCTGACACCAACATTATTGTCTTTAGGCTTCCAACAGGAATGTTGATACAAACACAGAAAATCCATCTTCCACTAATTCTCAGTCATAATGAAGGCTCTTCATCGCTCCTCCTCCAAATCTCTTCCTTTCTGAGAAGCCAGGAATCTAAAGATGGAAAAGATTTCACGTCAGAATCAGCGTGAGCTCCCTTCAGCCCTCATCAGTGTGCCTGTTACCAAGCCAACTGCAGCCATGCCCTCCTCTTCCATGTCGGCTCCTCAATGAGGACTGAAGAAACGCTTCAGTTTGTTCCTACAGGAGCACTATTTATTAAATGGGATATAAACCCGGAGCCTGGATCGTTTGTGCTTCAGGGCTCCCTACTTGCAATGAAAGCCTTAATTTCTCAGGCAAATTCTGCCCTAAGTCCCTGTTTCTGCCAATTTTAATTGCATGCAGAATCTCTCCCACCCTTACTTTTAAAACTATAGAACAGTGTTACTATATCTATATATACTTGCTGTTGAGACTTAACCTCTCCTGCCTTAAGACAGCAGCCTTTCACTGGTAGCTGAAAGACCACTTGGTGAAAATCTTTAAGAAAACTACCAGAAGAAGAAGGACTGCAAACAGTGCAAGGCATTATTATCACTTCTGGCTTTGCAGCCTATGTGCAGGCACAGCTTTCCTTATGAGAGCCAGTGCTTACAAGGAAAGTCTACTCCACAAACTTCTCTGGCTTCATGTTGTTTCAAATAGATTTGCAATGCAGTGCACCCACAAATAAACAACAGGGACTGAATGATCTCTAAGACGGTATTAGAGGGCTATCCTACCAGTGGCAGCATAAAACAATGTGATTACAGCCTAAAAGTAACATTTATATGTCTAACTACACACAAGCAGAAATGACAGAATGAGTAAACACATCCCCAAAGCAATTCCATGTTCTCATAGCAAACACAGTAGTGTATCAAGGAGGAAAGTGTCAGCAAACAACTGTATATCAAACTATTGCCCAAAACCAGGAAAATGTGGGCAGATATGGCTCGTGTGGAAAGAGAACGCAGTTTATAATACTAAGTAGGCTGCTCAGGTTACACACTTGACCAGCAAATCAAAAAAGCTAAAGAGTTTACCCAAAATGAAAGCACGGTGAAGAACCACAGTTTCTATATTGATTAAAAACTAAAAAATAAATATTTCATTTATTTATTTATATAAATATATAAATAAATAAATATATAAATAGAGAGGATGGGGTCAGACTCTTTTCAGTGGTGCCCAGCGACAGGATGAGATGCACTGGGCACAAACTGAAACACAGTAAGTTCCATCTGAACCTAAGGAAAAACTTCTTTACTGTGAGGGTGACAGTGCACTACAACAGGTTGCCCAGAGAGGTTGCAAAGTCTCCATCCTTGGAGATATGGAGATATTTAAAACCTGTGTTGACAGGGTCCTGGGCAACCTGCACAAAGCTATATTGCTTGGAAAGGGGCCAGGGGAGACTAGTTGATCTCTACAGGTTCCCTCCAAATTCAACTGCTTCTGCATTCCAATTCTGTACTTGAAATTTTGTTGAGGCTTTCGGGCCCCAGACTCAAACAGATATGCAACACATTCATCAAAGAATTATTTTGCTTGACTCTCAAATGCTAGCATCCCTAGGGAAAAGCTAGGCAATTTCGCACAACAGTTTGTCTAACCAAAATTGCCTTGGGAATTCAGAAGAGAAAAATGTTACCATTATAACTCAAAAGTAGAGAGTTTTTATAGTATCTCCTTCGGCACTTTTATATTAAAGGCACTAATTAAGAGGAATTATTATTTATGTTAGATCTGACTAATACCATAACTGCAAGCAATCTGGAGCTTATCCTTCCCCTCATACTGAAGAATTCTATAATAAAAGTGACTCAAAAAATGATGGAAGAGACCCATTGTAGAATACTCAAAAACACATTTACAAAATTTATATTAAATGGAAATTTTCAAATAATAACATTAAGAGGTTACACTGGAATTTCCAGTTACCATTTGGATTTTGTAACTTTAAATGTGACTATCCACTATCCAAGATCCATTTCAAGCTTTCTAGCTGCTGACAGTGAAGGAGATCAAAGAAGTCATAAGCAGGCTGTCATAAGCAGGCTGTAATCTTTGGCACATGGCTTTAAGGAATATGATCTCTGGTTAGTCACTAAAAGTGATCCAATACATAAAACCTGTGCACCATGAATCAAAGACAGCCAGCACATCAGCAGATTTTTGTGTTAAGCTATTATCTCCGTGAAAGTGAGACTTCCTTCTCCTAGAATGTGGAGGTGGGATGGGGGAGAAAAAGGCATCTTGCAGAACCGAAATGGGAAAGACAAAATTTGTTTTTAAATGGCAGAAAAAAAAAATCCTCATGAAAAGTAAGCATTATGTAACCTCCAATTCATTTTTATTCCCCCACTCTCCCTAAGGCACTTTCAGCACAGCTATATTTATACTTCTGATTGTATTTCAGAGATGCTATTCACTGTAATCTGCAGGCACCTTGCAATTGTGCTGAACAGAACCTGACCATCCTCTGCAGGGCAGACTGTAGATGGGAAAAGGAGCTGAAGTGACCTGTCCAAACCAAGAGAGTCACTTTGCTCATTCTTCACTAAAAAAGAAACCAGGTGATTTGATGACCCAGCAATGAATCACAGCTGGTATCATTCTGCCAGTCTCTTATTTTACAAAAATCACCTGCAGAAAACATAAAATGCTACATCCAGCTGTGAAAACAGCCTTTTGATTGACTGTCAAGGCAGCATCTCTGGCCTAAGTCTGTACCTGATCAGACTGAAGCTACGAGATCAGAGAGAGAGACTGTGTTTCTTTTTTATCTCAGCTGTGCAACCTCTACTATATTAGCATTTTCATTTATTTCACTGCCAAACAATTTCAGTGACAAAAGTCAGCCATTTTTCTGTCCATGCAAAGCAGCTGGGCTTCCACAGTTTAAAAAAGTCAACTACAAGCATGAATTAACATTTAAGTCACACGAAGCTCCTATTTTAAACAAAACTATCACCAGGTAACATTACCTTGGGAGAAACAAAATAAAAAAGGAGGAAAACATAACAAACCTGAGTGCCATCTCTTAAAAAGTATCTCTTCTCTATGACCTGAGGAAAAAAAAAATTAGAAAATTATCTTAGCAGGGACACCACATTCCTAACCTCAGACTCCAAACAGTACTTCACACAAGAGTACTAAAGCTCATGACTAAATGGCAGGGGGCAGAAGAATCAGAATCAAAGTCTTCTGCTCCAGGCCTACTGCTCCAAGCACTGGGCTATAACATGTCAAAGGAGTTGATACATTCAGCATTCTTATTCAAGCAGAGTGTTATCCTCAATTTCTATGCTCTTAATGTATTTAGCCCCCTTTAGTAATGCAGGTGACATTTACGGCATCTCTTACTGAAGAGTCAATGTTATTTCCACTCCTCTGTGCAGACAGAGTGGTTCTGAGCACCACCAAAAGCTCCTTCTTCAGGCATTCTGCAAGTGCTTTAGCAACTACAGTGGTTCTGAAGATGCACAGGGACGTAGGGTAGCCCGAGTTGCTCTTGAGGAATGACCCACCCACTCCCTGTGCTGAAGGATGCCTGTGGAGGCACTTCTGTCAGTCTAAGAATCAGAAGTAATTTGCATCACTCTGCACTATCTGCTCCCTCCTCCAAAGGAGATTTCTGATTAATTTCCTCTTTTCTATAGTATGATCTGTTACAGGAATGTGTTCTGCTTCACTATGGTCGCTTTGTCCAGGGGATAAAAAGCAGCTTAAGCCAGAGCATTCCTTCTGTCACTTCCACAGTGGGTCTACATAGACTTTTTTGTGCACAAAGGAGAGTAACACATTTTCATTTCTGAGGTCTGCTTTACTTAGGAACACTGCTAACCATAGCTTTATAATGCCCCACACTACTATCTTAGCGCACTGCGAATCTTCTGGCTGCCCAAGGACTCCAAAAATTGTATGCAGTACCTTTACAAACTCATGAATTCTTTTTTTCACTACTCTACATGGATCAAGAATCAGATTTCCAAGGGCATCTTTGCCCTCCCATACCTGCCTTGAATCAGCTCAAAAAGTGGAAAGTTAAAGAAATAGGTAATTCTTTTTCTATGCTCAAAACACAGATAGGGTTCAATACACAGAACAGTAAAATATAACTTAAATGACTTGACTCACCTTATCAAAAAACCTGCTTAGCTTGACAGCATTGGATGAGCCTGCAGCCAAATAACGAGGATTGGTGCAATCCTAGAGCACAAAAAAAGACCAACCAAGCACAAGGAAATCAAAACAAGGAAGCCATTCACAAGAAAACCAATACTTTTCTCTGACACATGCAATCAATTAAAGCAAATATAGCATATATGTTCTAATTTCAGATTCATATTCATTTGAGAGAAAAACAATGGTTTGTAAATAAAAGCGGACAGAACTGGTTGGGAAGCAGTAACAAAATGTTAGTCTTTTAAATTTAGATAAAGAGTAAGTGTTTTGAAGATTGGAATTCTAAATGAGAAAGAAAAATATCTAAAAAACAGAAGGGAAATGGTTTTAGAGGTATAGCATCAGCTAATACAGATATAACCCTGGCCAGATATTAAGCCTGACCTACAGAATAACACTGATTTTTCTCGAAAGATGAAGAAATAGCATCTTTCAACACTGTCCTGCACCTCCAGCCTAGCCTGGAGGTTACACTGTTTGCACTGGAGCAAAGGCCAGTTCCTTTGCTGTGAAGCAACCTGAAAAACTCAAGATTCCTGCTACAGTCTCCATATTTACCTCTGTTCACCAGCTAGCTACACAATCAGCTCACGATTTTTACAGGCTGAATGCAAGCTTGTGTGTGCATATAAGCATTCACACACACACACATAGATGTTACAGAAATAAATAACATGGGGTCTTGATATTTCATTCAAATATAATCTGTGTCAGATCAAAGAACAGGTAACAGAAAAATGAACTCCCAGTCATCTACTCTAAATTCACATCAGCTGATCTATCAACAATTAAACAAGGACTATTTGACTAAAGGTTAATCAAAATGTGCCTAAATCCAGCATTTCTGAGAAATTGTCTGGCAGCCCAATTTTCCTAATCAGAAAATCAGAATCATTGCTACATAGAATAGAAATGTCATTGGTGGCAAAGACACTAACCAAATTTATCTCTTCAGCATTGAAATCCTCAGCCAGGAAAGCCGTTCTGGTCAAAACTTCATTCCGCTTAGTTTCTGGGATTTGATCCAGTTTAGTTCCTATTACCAGCAGTGGAATCTGGTTATCAGCAAACTGTTCACGGTCATAGTCACTGTTGAAGAAGATAAATACAATCCTGGATGGCTTGATGGCCGTATTAGTGGGTAGAGGGTACAGATCAAGGAGCTCGCATCTCTGAATATCAAGAGCTCCTACAAATATTTTTAAGGACAGACAAGGAAACAAATTGTTACTGTGAAATATTGTTTCCTCATTAGAACAAAGATGGCTGTATAAACTGAATTCCAACAAGTCTTGATCCAGATATGAATGATCAGTAAAAACAGCCTTTTATAAGATAAATGATATTGCAATAAAATACCCAGTCATTCCCCTCAACAAATATGCTAACTTGTCTTCTGTTTTTATCTATAGCAAGATTAACAGAAAGTAATTAACACCAAGAACTTAGTCCAGCATTTGTGACAGACGAGGCATCTGCCACTGAGAGAAGTGAGGCTCTCAAAAATTATAACAGTCATGAAGAGTCTTTATGTGGAGAAAAATGAAGAAACTTCCAGCACATATAATGCAACCCCTCTTCTTTTTCACATTTCTTTAAAAACACTAGTGTAACAGCATAAACAGATAAACAATTGTGATTTTTCCTCTTCAAGATTTACTGTTTATTTACCTATTACTGCTCATGTGCATGATTTATCGATGATCTGAAAAATCTCCCTGCTTATCTGATTAACAGGAGCATGAAAATACAGCAGCATTGATAAAATGATAGGAAGGCAATTATGAGTATGATCTTTAAGCAGATTCTTTCATATCTCCTGTTCTTTTTCTTCCCTTCTTGTCTAATTTTCTGTAGATTTCAAGTAGTTTAGGGATGAATATTTCCACAACAGCCTAGAATTACTGTGTCTTACAGCACATACATGTTTTTCACTCACCCGTTGGTGACTAGAACCCCTGTTGGAGCGACATCCCTGTTGAGGGCTTCCAAAGACCAGCGATACAGATTCTGCGATGACTTCTTGTTGGTCAAATCATGCACTAAAATTATCCCTAAAGTAAAAGAGTAGGCAGCAAGATGCTATTTCACCATACACAGTTTTCCCTTTCTGAGCAAAACTGCATCTGCAGATTCCCAGGTACCTGGAAACTATGGAAGGGAAATACAACTGGCTGAACTACATTGAATGAGTTAAGGTGAAAATACCAAAATGCAACAGTTTTTTGTTTGTTTGTTTGCTTTTAAGCTTCTTATCAAAAGAAAAATGAGGGGAAAAAATACCAAAAAGGGGGAAAAGAACATCCATCCTTGTTTTTTATCTTTAACAGGCTGGCAAGCATTCCCTGAGTCTGTTCTAATCCTCTAATAATCTAATCCTAATGATACTGAATGGTATTAGCACAGCAGAGCCTTTTACTGTTCTACCTAGCTGGTAAACACATGATTCTTTCCTTGTCATGCAATCGAAGAAAGAGAAAGGCTGTCTTTTTGTTGTTTTGAAAGAATTACAGAGCATATTACCTTCCTGCATTTTCAAGAGCTGATGGAATGTACTTGCAGAGGTATCCAAAAGGGAAATTGGTTCTGATGAACTTTCACAGTCCATCAAATGCCTGGTAGGAACATGAGCTAGTAATATTCCATGTATTTAGGATTAAGCTTCTAGCCTTTTTCATTACTATGAGCTCTCAAAATGTAAAATCCAGAGATAAGAAAATTGCCAGCCAAACTTTTTAGCGGTACTGTTAACAGACACCCACTTCTGATAACCAGACTTCCTAACTCAATTATCAACTCCTGCTAGCAAATATCTTCTATTTACTCACACCTTCTGCCACCTGTGGAACGCTCCCACTTCCTCCAGGCTTTAAACTATCACTTATTCATGGATAGGATGGCGTTATACCTCTTATCCCTATCAGGATTTGTTCTCAGCACACATTTCACAGCCCACAGGTGTAGAAAATTTATTTCATTTAATCCTTCACCTTAGCTCCCAACGATGCCACCCACTGTACACACTAAAAGCAAATCACATTGCCACATTCTCCACCACCCCACATTATTCTGTAGAGAGACTCCTCTGAGAATTCTACCAGAAAATGAGCATCTCCCCGACATATCACAACCATTTCACTCTTTAAGAGCATTTATCTTGATGCTAGCAGAAAAAAAAAAAAAAAAAGAGCAATCTAACCTCGTATCCACATCCAGTACAGAAAGAGGAAACCTTATATATGTAAGCTTGGGTTATGGCAGCAAAATCAGAGGCACTGCTGCATAACCTCTGAGAAATATTTTCCACCTCCAGGCATCTTCTGCCTAAGTAACAGGCTCTCCCCCTATTTCGGTTTTTGGTTGGTCAGGTTCCTTACCTCTTCTATGGGAAAACCTATACATGCAGTTGGAACAGCAGGAAAGACAGTGTTAACATCAAGAAAGAGCAGGCAGGACCAGTGACTACTGAAGGAAATGTTCCTTCTAAATAAAAATCTGCAAACCACAGCCTTATTTCTTATTCACCGTCCCAGACTATCACCATCTACAACACAGACACGAGCACAGCAAAGCTGATGATCTGCAGTCATACCAAGAGTGAACGATACCTAATCTCCTGAGCAGCCCGGTCTCCCTGACAGGCTGCGCAGACGCTGCTGTAACCAAACATCAGCTGCCTTCTCATCTCAAACTTTTCAGATCACTGCAAGCCCAGGAAGGACAAATAGTCAGGCAGGAGAAGCGCACTCCTTTTCTTGCATCAGGTCAAAGAGAGGCAACTAACTACCAGAGAGCACAATTTTCCAATGTGAACTGACTAATAGCTTTTGTGCAATGGTAATAAAATAACCCAATTTTCATAAATTTTGTCTATTATCAGTCAGAATCAGAAGTTCAGAACTTCATTTCCTAACCTGTTGTTCTATGGTATTTCCAGCGCAAACTGGAATCCTGTGGACTTGGTATCTAAAAATCATCCGCTTTTTACATATAGCAAAGCAGCTTGCTTTCAGGCCTCTGTTTTGAGGGTACAATTCAACTCAACTATATAGAGGGCTCTTGTTGAACAATACAAACGTAAAGCACCTATTTGAAATTTTTCCTCTGTGAAAACAAGAAAAAAAGAAAGCTAAATAATCGCAGCATAAATGTTTACTGTATGGCTTAACACATAATTGAAAGGAGCTCAAATGATGATGAATATGAAATGGGAATCAAATAGAACATCTGGGACTAAATTTTCCAAAGCAGTCATTAACCTGGTATTCACTTACTTTCAGTGAACTGTCCTTGCATGTCTAATGAACGGTACTGATAGCATTTAGATGGTAGTCTCTAATGAGATACTGCATTTTAATTATGTTCATAATCTCTTATAAACTATTTCAACGTTAAAGATAAACTACTACAGCTCAGAGCTCAAAAGAAAGCATGCCATCCTTTCAAAGGCATTAAAATCTTTCTTTCCATTGACAGCAAATTGCAATGCTCAATTATTAAAAATCTCCTGCCAAATTAAGTTAGCAGAGGGCAAGATGATCACCAGATTATTACAATTTTCTGGGAGACCTGTTCAAACTTGCCAGGGTTGCCTTCAAAGTCCATGTAAATGCTTTATGGGCAGTAAACTTGTTCCGGGTCTAGGTTTTGCAGCTGAATAGATAAGAAAATATAAATTACACTAGACTTGGAAAAAAAGAGACCAGCTCTTATGTCTACAAATCAAAACCTCCCCGTTGAACCAAACTCAAGGAATGTTGCTCCAAACTTCAGAGTTAGGTGGTAGCAGAAAGCAATAAAAAGAGATAAAATCCAAGCAAACTTACCATTCAACAAGTTATAAAATACTGCTCGGGTACTTTTCACACTAGTGGCACTTCCCACTGAACCTCCAACATCCCACAGCTCAATATAGTAGGTCTTCTCTTCTGGAGTTCCTTCTTTGTAGTCATGTATCTGATGGAAAAGTTAGACCATACACAATCACTGCATCACCTTGTATTAACCCACACATCTTTTACGTATTCCACTGAAAGCAGTACTATATTTGGAGAGAAATTGGTAGATTCTAACATTGACATCATTTCAAATCTTTCAAGTAGATCAGGACTGACTGGACTGAGTCAGACAGTGTCACTGCAGCTCCGCCAAGAGATAAAGCTTGGTGAATCATCAGGGAACTTTCTTCCCCCTTAAACATTAGCAAACCTAATGACTCATGGAGTACTTGGAAATAGGGTGCTGCTAAAACAGGTGAAAAGATGAGGCTGTGATTTTGGTTTTTTTTTTTTTTTTTTCAGTTGTTAAAACTCATGTCAGTATTGCATAGTTGAGAATATTAGGAGGGAGGGACTATGTCACATTCAGATTGATCACATCTTTTTACTCTCCAAATTCTCTTCTACATCTCAAGTGAATCAACTTTCCTCTCAAGAGTTGCTGTGTAGGTTTGCTCCAGAGTCAAGGATTGCAATGTTCCTTTCCCAAAATTGTGGAAATGTAATTTGGCATTACTTGAAACTCATGCACAATAGGCCAGAATCACTCCCAGGATATGGCAAAATGTTTTAGGAAGAATGTAGCTTACAACAATGAAGGATGGAAGCATTTATCACCAGCCCACAACAGCTGTGGGTAGGCCAGAAAGGACCAGGTAAGTAAACCCACATTCTTGTAGTACTAAGCTCTGTTGCAAGTAGATGGCAACAGAAGTAACAATCCCTGCAGTCATGCTAGATATTCTCAAACAGATGGCAAAACATGTTCTCCAATATGTTTAGCTGACAATTCAGCTGTGCACTGAGTGTTTCTCAGGCAAGTTTAATTTAAAGCTGTGCATCCTTTGGTTTAAATGTGCCACCCAACAACTCACATTTTCCTGCTCACTGCAGTAAGGGGGCTTTATGAACAGGAAGAATTGTGGCTTTTTTAGATTGCAGTCTTGTAAAGTCACAATTTGCCTGCAAAAAAAAAATGCTCAGCATCTATTTGACATGTTTTGCTCTAACGGATTACAGTTTTTGGAAAAATATAACAGTAAAAGACACTTCCTTCAGGGGAGTAAAGTGATGAAATTCTCACTCTGAAATGTAAGGTTAGAGTTCAGTGCTTATCTTACATCCCTTAGAAGAACGAAAATCTGAATCAGGCCAGTTGAGATCTGAGCTTGGAACAAACAGTACTGCCCAGCACAATGGAGGCACAGTTGTTCTCTTGTTTTGCTTTCGGTGTACCAAAAGGAAGAGGAGGGGGAAAAAAAAAAAAAAAAAAAAAAGAGAGAGATGGGAATATCACCTACTCGGACATCCACTGAGCAGCCCACTGTCCAAGATGGGTTCCCCAGCACCTGGTTTTGGCACAGGAGGTGAACCAGCGAAGACTTGCCAACACCTGCAAACACACGCAGAGCACAACACCCATCAGAGGACGTGCTTGCGACGAACGCAAGCCCAGGCCGCCGCGCCAGGCGACCGTTAACGGCCAACGGTCATTGCCCAACGGCCGCCACGCGGGCCGGCTGCAGACTGAGGGCGGGTGGGGGGGGGGAGCGCCCCCTCCCCCCGCGCATGCGCCGCCCGTCAGCGGGGTGGGGGCGCGTGCTGGTGGGGGGAGGGGCAGGGACACTCACCGGAGTCGCCCAGCACCAGCACCTTGACCCTGTCCAAAGCGGCCATCTTACCCTGCCTAGCAACAGCCCCGGAACGCACCGCCCTCTCCCGGCAACGCCAACCACCGCTCACGCTCGCTGCGGATTTCTCCGCCCACTGGCTGCCCGCCTGAGCCGCCAAACGCCGCGGCGCCCTGTGATTGGCTCTCTCCCCCGTCGCTCATCCCCCCCCAAGCGTGGCGGCCCGCGCGGGAGGCGCCGCGCTGCGCGTGCGCCGTGTGACGTCATAGGCGCGCGGTGCCGTGACGCGCCGCTGCGGAGCCGCCGGAAGCGCCGCCCGGAGAGGGGAGAGCTCGGAGCGGCGGCAGGTCAGTGGCGGCGCCGCCATGTCGGCCCCGGCGCCATGTCGGCCCCGGCGCCGCTCCGCCCCGCAGCCCCCGGCGCCTCCCGCGCCTGGCGGGCCCGGGCGAGGACTAGGGGGGAGCGGCGAGAGCCCCCGCCTCGGCCGCTCGTGTTCCCCTTAACGGTCGCCCCTTCCGCCGCTCCCATGTTGGGCCGTCCGAGGGCCTCCCGCCGTGCTGCTCCCCAGCGCCTGCGTGGGCCCGGCTTTTTGGCCTCGGAGCAGCGGCTGCCCCCCTCGTGTGTGCCCTGACTGGTGTTTTCTTCAGGAGGTGCTGCCGAGTCCCTCGAGCCTGCAGCCCCGGAGGAGCCCACACACCCGGCTGCTGAAACACTCAGCCCGCAACAGGGTGGAGGGCAGGAAGCTGTGCAGGCAGTGCAAGAGGCTCTCTGCTTGGCGTGGGCTTAAGAGCTGAGGCTGGCGTCAATCCTGATGTGTTTTAGAAAGCTGGCACGCCTTGGGAAGGGGTCTGCAGGGTTCTGGCCTCTGAGGGATGGCTCGTGCTGCAAGAGGCCTGGGTGCAATGGGATGGGCTGGGAGTACTGGGTCAGCAAGCTGCTGCTGGCCGCCTCTGGCAAGTCTGGCCCTTGGCAGAGCTCCCACAGCGCAGGGAAGCTGCTCAGGTCTGCGGGCCTGCCAAATTTCCTTTTTTTTTTTCTTTTTTTTCCCCTCCTGGTTTAGTGAGATTGATTATTCCCTGGAGGGCCCGTGAGCACCTCCCAAAAGCAGTGAGCTCTTAAATGGATTCACTCACTTGTCGTTTCAGGTGGCATAGGGTAAATGTGGAAGGACTGTGTTATGAAACAGGTGTTCAGCATTGCACAGTAATGATACAGTTCCCTGAAACACCAGTAACCTAAGCTTTTTCAGCCCCAAAAGGGGAATTCGCATTGCTGCATTGGCTTCCTCTTGTGACTGCTAGGTCTGTTCATCAGATCTTCCCATTAGTTAATTCTACTGATTAAAATATCAGGGGGAAAAAAGAAACCCTAGCTTAAAAAAAAAAAAAAAAAAAGATTTTCTTTAATATTTTAGTCAATTTGGTGCCCAGAAGAGTCTTCTGAGTATCAGAACTGGCACAAGAGAACAGGCAGAGCCTCATGCTAGAGAATGTAACACTGCTCCTCTAGACGCAACGAGGAGTGATGAGAATTCCAGTTTTGCAGTCCGTTTCCTTTCAGATACTATTTAAAGCTAACACCACACAGGATGCCTAAGGCTTCTCTAATGGGGAAATTATGTGAAATTAAAGCTAATCAGATATCCTCTAGTTCCTTAATTTTCTATTTCTTTATTGCCTCCACAGTAGGTGCATTAGAGTTATTAGTTTGCTACACCACGATGAGCTATTTTTTTCCAAACATTTTACTTAATTGTTTCTGTTACTTTTCTCCCCCCAAATTCCTTAAGGACAGTTTATTTCTGGGAATATCATCTCTGATACTAAGCGTGGTGTGCTAGTTCTCATTGAATTCAGAATGCTAAGGAGGTTAACTCCTTTCTTCCTAGAAACTTCAAGAGGGTATTGCTTAAGATTACTGTACAGAAATCATGATGTAGGCTTGATATGTTTGAGAATTTCCTTTTTTTTTCCCTTAAGGAAAAAGAAAAGGAAAAGTTGGGGTGGAGGGAAGAGCCTACCCAAAGAACTATAGCACTTTACTATGTGGGACCAATGCTGAAAAGACTCAAAAATAGACTTGGTTGTGCTTTCCCTGGAATGCACTTAAATGGCACTGTGAATTGTAAGGTATTCTGATAACCACCGTTGAAATATTTTAGTGGCTTCATAGAATAGCTGAGTTACTTTAACATCTCTGCCCACTAAGTGGGAGAAGCTTGCTTTTCCCCATTCCTAACTGTGCTACAGTTGTAACTATTAATGGGTCTATGTCTGTGGAATGTTTGTGTCTGTGTACATGCACATATACATTCCTTTACCTAAATATTGCTCTTATATGACCCAGAGACCATTACATCCTGAGTTGCATCCTGAGCTTACATTGCTTACTTTCTGCCTGGCAAGGTCAGGCTTTATTGCCTGATCGTTGACAGTGTGTGTGTGTGTGTGTGTGTGTGTGTGTGTGTGTGTATAAAAAACTTGAGTGAAAATGTCCTCTTTTCAACAAGTCCCTTCAGCATGTTCCTCTGCCTTTTTGTGCCTCAGGAGCACAACAGTTCTTAAAATCGCCCTCTATTACCTTGTGGCTCTCTGGTGTAACTTTATAGCATGTCAAAAAGAAGATTGTTCTTTTCTCCTTTAGATATTTTAAAATAAACATGTCTATATACCAACTTTAGGGCAAGTCTTGCAACAAAAATGTAAGATTTCATGTGAAGATTGCGGGAGAAGGACAGGTCAGTAGAGTTCCCGAAGTCCTCAGGGGATGGGCTTCAGTCAGCTTTTGGGAATATGCCAGAAGACCTTAGGCTGGCAAGTGATCTGATTATATGACAATTCAGGCTGATAGGAGCATGCTGCTTAGGTCCTCCTCTCCTTACAGCAAGAGCAGACTTCAGAATGGAGGGTTTTGTGTCATTTTTTAAAGTGGACAAATAGCTGTTAGTGTTTGATGTTAGGCTGTATATATATGGAAAATCTTGGTGGCATATTTCCACGTCATAATTCAGAGAGACTTGTTTCTTCCTTTGTTTGACAGGCTTCAGAATGAGTCCTGACAGCTTAACCTCATCTTCTAGAAGACAATTTTAAATTTTATTAGAGTAAGAGATTAAAAAAGGAGGATCTGTGATTGATGAACTGAGATGCTGTACACAGTGACTCACAGAAGCCTATTATGCTTGGAGATCCACAGTTATAGGTGAGCCTGAATTTGTCAAGCTTGAAAAACGAACGCAGGAAGCACAGACAGTCAATAGCAAAAGGTTTTGGTGAACAGTTTAGCTCAAGTAGCGTGAATTGAGTAATAGGCTGATCATTAGTTTTGCAGAATTGGTATGTGTACCTTCCACATCTTTCCAAGTGTGAAGATAGACCCAGATTCCTTGGCAATCCTGCAACTGCAAGTTTCTCTCTTAAAAAGATCTGGGTTTTTATAGGGGATTTCCTTACCCAAATGAATCTAAAGACTAGTCTCTATCTGGTCTGAAAGAATAGATTTCCCTTAGAATAGGGGAAGTTTTACCTTATCAAATAAACAGGGAGACTAAATAAATTAAAACTTCTGGTGAAGTTGCCGGTGGAATCAATACAAGCCTCACAGTTATCGATGAAATTTATAAAACAAGCTGATGTTCATGTATTGTACTGGATAAGAGTTCAGGTTAATTGATGGGTTGACTTACATTTTTCCCAGTTTGCCGTTCTTCTATTATCTATATTATAGCTTCTAGGTATTGTCTTTCTAATGTTTATTATGTTTAGCCTGGAAGAGCAGGGAGAAAAGCAGATCGAACCTCCTTAGCACAATTCTTGAAAGAATTATTGAAATCCCTTTATGTAGAGAGGAAGAGTTTGTTTTGCTTTCATGTTGCATCAGCAAAGTTCTGACCACAGGAGATGCCACTCAGTGGGATTCCTGACTGCCATAAAGTCTGTGATCTCCAACTCAGCAAGGATGTGTTTGCTCCCACTTTTACACAGTCTTGCTCTGCTCTCTGTCTGCTCTCTGTCATCTCTGAGTATGCTCTCTCAAGAACTGTGCCTCATTATACCCTGTGTGAGGTACAACTGCCGTTAAGCAGTGTACCCTCATCTGGTTGAATTTTGTAGCTATAACTCTTCTCAGTAGTGTCTCGTAGCCAAATCAATATTTTATTTTTAGAGTTTTTTTTTCTTTTAATTGGCATCTATGTAATGTTATCCTACTGTTAGAATGCAGGTAGGTCTAGCTTCTGCATAATAACAAGTTGGATACTTAATTGCTCAATTCCCCGAGAGCAGTCCCTTTTAAAGTAGCCTATGTTTACATGTTGAACTCTTTCAATTGGTTATTTGTGAAAATTCTCCGTCTAGTAGGCTTATTAGTGGTGCTGCAAATACTTAGTGATTTATCTTAGCTGTTGTTGTTTTTGTTTTTTTCTTGACAGTACCCCTGCTGTTCATCCATTATTATGAAATGGATCCACATCTATTAAAAGCTTGGTAGGAGGTGTTACTGTATTTCTTTGCTCACCTAATTAATTCAGCCTTGGCTTCCTACTTCTGTAGGAGATGAAATCAATACTCAAGGGTACAACAGTAAAAACTTGCAATCTTAAACTGATATTTTTCTGGTATTGCGTTACCACTTGTGAGCTGGATCTCTTCCCCTCTTGGCTAGTGGAAGGTGGTGAGGATTTTCGGGAACTTCTGTGCCATAACCTGGAATTCTTTGTGGGATGACAGCAAGATGTTGGATTCTCCTAGAGAAATAGACTCTACCTCAGTGAGCTCTGATGATGAATATGTTCTCTCCTGACATTTTTTTTCTATCCCATAACTTGCCCCAGAGTGTGATTATCAGGCAGACTGTTCTAAAATGCAACCTGCATCATGAAGATCGTGTTCGAGCCCTTTTGTTTGGTTTGACTTTAAGCCTCAGTATGATGCAAAAACTGGTCATTACAGAACAAGTGTCCATACTGATTCTCAGAGCTAAAATAGTTGTTTTGCACCGCTGCAACTCATGTAGCAAAGCTTGACCAGGGTGTTTTCCGACGACTTGTTTGCCTTGCCTTCCTCCTGCCCTTAGATCAATTAGCTGTCTAGCCCAAAGGCTGTTTTCTGCTGGATTCAGAATTTATTCCTTGTTAATCCGTTTTTGAACTTGGGGCTTGTTTACGTATATCTTTGCCTGAAGGAAAACCAGTACTGAACTGGAAAAAAAGATGCCCAGTGTTACCTGAGGGCTCACAAGATTTGCATGGAACTAAAAGTTTCCAGTAAAAGAAAAGGCAATTACATAAAATAGCAATTGTGTAAAAACTGGTGGCCTCACTAGCTAGTGAAATGGCTTATATTTGTGAGAATTAAAGGAAGTGTACATAAAGTATAAATTTTGCTAGTCCTTTACCAAGTCCTTTGCGGGTCTTAAGTTTAAGCTATTCAAGTGCATTCTTCATGGAATTGTACCTCAAGCCTGTTTAAAGTTTCGCCTTGTATGGAAACATGAAGCCCCCTTAGCAGTGAGAGTCTTGCAGAGAAAATGCTATTCCGCTGTGTTCCTGGATGAGGTATCCAGTATGAAATGTTCTCTGAAAGTGCTTTTTTTTCCTTCTTTTTTTTTTTTTTTTTTTTTTTTTTTGTAAAAAGTCATATTTTGAAGGCCGCTACATCTCGTATAAGATGTTTTCCTAACCTCTTTCACAAGGATGTTTTAGGGGAACAAAGGATTGGTTGAAGAGAGTATTTTTTTGAGATGAACTTTTTTTTTCTCTAAAGCATCTTTCAAAATTTGACTTCTTTAGTCTGGTTTGGGGTGCCATGCTTTATTAAAAAAAAAAATTATATTAATTTTATACTATGCCTGAACTTGGAATAAGTGCAGTTACTGAATTTGAATAAAGGCAGACCTCTGGCCAAATCCTGCATTCACATTGTTTTATTGTATCAATAGGTTCCTGGCAGATTCGCTCGAGCAAGATTTAGCTTTAAGTGACAGTAAGACTGTCCTTGCAAATCAATTTTGTTCTGCTGGTATTTTTATTCTGTGCCTGTATGCAGATTGACTCTAGAGTTTTAAAAATACTGCATAACTGTCTATGGTGAGATACACTTTCTTGCTAATGCTTTTATCTGTACTAGCTTTAACAGGAAGCTCCAGAAAAATGTTCTTTGAGCTGTAGATTGAGATATGTAGAATAAACAGTTAAATGACTCTAGAAGTACTTGCTTCATGGCTAATTCATGCTATGACAGTGTATCTTCTAATTGAAAAGTGGAGAAGATGGGATTGCTTTAATTTACTTAACCATTGGGCTGCACGATGCAAAGCCTAATTGCTTTGCAGTGGCACTGACCCTGACTCTTGCGGGGACCAACCCTCCTCAGTTGCAGAAGAGGAGTAACAGAAGAGACTGGGGATTCAAGAAAAATAAAGGTAATTTGGATGATTCTTCCTGAAGGTTTTGAGCGAGGTGCAGTATTCTTGCACCAGTGAAATCCAAGCGGGCTGTTGGGATAAATGATTAGAAAATTTTAAATGGCTATAGGTGATCTAAGTGAGTCAGCAGCTGCTTAGTTGCACCTAGAGCTTGGTGATTCCAGGGGGATGGATTACTGGTGTGCAGATGATAGCAAAGCTGCGTGGTGGTGCTTTTCGGAAGGAATATTAGCTGGTTAATGGTCGTGATGAGGAAAGTGGGACTTTCATCGGTTTGCTTTCTTCTGTCAATCTCTTTCCTTTATTGAAACTTGATTGCTGGGGAGGTAGGTATCCATTGTCTAAAAAATCTTACCAATTGCAAACATGGAAAAACGGCAGGATTTTACTGTTCCTATTAGTTCACCAACAGGAACTGCTTAGTGTTGAAGAACAAGCAGAACTTGAGATTATTTCCTGTTTCCCCCTACCCACACACTGAAGAAACCTCGTGTTGAAGAAATTACTCTTTCTATCCTAAAGAAGCATAAAAGTTGCTTGCTGAAGTAAAATACTCTTTTCTTCTTGTGAAAAAGGTAACTAAATACTAACCTTTAAGTCAGTGCTTCGAAAACACTGTAATAGTCCACATTTATCTTGAATCTTTCATACACGGAAGTCCAAGTGGAGGGGAATTTTATTGTTGCTTGCAGGTGGGCAGTCTTGAAAGCAGGAAAGGGGAAATGCACAGTATCAGATATTGTGCTCTAGTGAGTTGCTTTTGTCTTCCTTAGGACAAAAACGGATTACTTGAGAGGGGTTGGTGCTTTGGGTTGTACACCAGAATTTAGTTTTCAGCTGCAATTTCCTATTTCCATGTGAGAAGTGACAATAGAATGAATGCCTTGCGTGATGCATACATGGTTCTGTGACAACATACAAGGGAATAAAATTGCAACGATCACTTTTGCCATTTTATGTAATCCGAAGAAAAATGAAGTAAAATTACTCCTTTAAAATTATTCTTTTAAAAGTAACATTATTCCTTTAGAAGTCAATGCCTTGTAAGCTGTAAGTTTTCATGAGTAACTCAAAGGATATGTTATTGACCTTTCCTATCCTTCTAACATTCCTTTTTCTTCTTTTTTTTTTTTTTTCCCCTCTTAACAAATCCATCCCTTGTTCAGCAAGTCTTGATCTTTGTTTATTCTGCCGTATTATCTCTGGGATTCTAAGGCCTGAATATAAGACATCTTAAATGAGGGATCAGCCTCCTGGAAGGAAATGTTTGCTCATCTAGGATCAAGACTGAAGCTCTTTGTAATGTAGTAATTAATAGTGCTAATAGTTGTCGTGCTGCAGACAGTTGGCTATGATCTATTTATGAAAAAATAAGGAATAAACCCATCTATTTTATGACACATCTGGGAGCTTTTGCTGAATGTGTACCCAGCTGTAGTAGCAAGCTGTCCTTTTGGAAGATTTCTGTCTAGTGATATCTGTAGAATAGAAACAGGCAGGGATATTTTTAATAGGAGCTACTGGTATGAAGTAGGGTAGCAGGCTGCTCTCTGGACCGCCTTAGGCTCTTCATTCTTGTACTGGTTTTCTTCTCCCTAGCTACGAGTCTCAGAGGGTCACAGAGCTCTCTCCTGCAGCTCTAGCCCAAAGGCAAATTTCATATTCCAGCTCCTGTGGCTCTTGATAGGTAGAGTGGAAATCCACCAAGTGTAGCCAATTCTTTTGGTTTCTTAGATTTCCACACTTTTGTTGTGGATGGAAAGTGCATAGGTAGAAAGGTTGTGTGGTGGTGTGTTTCAGCCCTCTTAACACCTAAAGAGGGCTTTCAGGTCCAGGGAAAGGACATAGAGAACAGCCATTTTCCCTGTTTGGAGGTAACTCAATCACAGCTACTGCAGCCAGAAAACGAGCTAAAAATCCACGTGCTTTTTTCTTTTTATTTCCCCTGCTGCAGTATACATGAAGCTCAGGATCTGAACCTGATATGACTGATCCGGACGTGCTCACTGAAGTCCCGGCAGCTCTCAAACGCCTTGCCAAATATGTGGTCCGTGGGTTTTATGGCATTGAGCACGCGTTGGCTCTGGACATTCTCATCCGGAACCCGTGCGTGAAGGAGGAGGACATGCTGGAGCTCCTCAAGTTTGACAGAAAGCAGCTGCGGGCCGTCCTCAACACGCTCAAGGGTGACAAGTTCATCAAATGCAGGATGAGGGTAGAGACGGCTCCAGATGGCAAAACCACCCGTCACAACTACTACTTCATCAACTACCGCCTTCTGGTGAACGTGGTGAAGTACAAGCTGGACCACATGAGGAGGAGGATTGAGACCGACGAACGAGACTCCACCAATCGCGCCTCTTTTAAATGCCCCATTTGCTTCAGCACTTTCACAGATTTGGAGGCCAACCAGCTCTTTGACCCTCTAACAGGTAGGTGCCCAGGTAACAAAATGCTGTCGCCGTCTCCTTTGCCCTGTAGTGTCAGAAATGCAGCTTTCCTGAGCACAGATAGTTGGCAAGGGTCCTGTGGGAGCTAGGGGGCACTATGTTTCTGCAGGTGCTAAGTGTTTGAGCAAAATACAGAAAAAAAACCCCAATAGGTATGTCAGATCTTTGCTGTGACCTAATAAACAGCAATTGCCTTTTGCTGCCCCTCTCGTAGTTGAGTTTGGGTGATGGGTACAGTAGTTCTTGTACAGTCTGTACAGGCAGGTGGAGCTTTTGGTAAAATGCATACAGAAATGCTTGAGTGGCAGGCACTAGAGAAATAGAGGTGTGCTATAACAATCAGATTCAACGCAGAATAAAGTACTCTGTCATTCTTGTCAGCCCATGGCTTTTCAGTATAACCTGGTCTTGCCTGTAAACTTTGGGACTTATTGGTAGCTTGCAGAAAGAATGTATATATAGTTGACTGTTGTATGCAGAAAATATGTGATTTAAACATGGACATGCGAGGAGAGTTATGTTTAATTTCCTCTTAGCTGTTTAATTATACTGCACGATCTTGTTTCCCCAGTGTGCCGTGTGCTCATGAAAGAGATTCACCTTGTTCATGATGAGGAATAAGCAAGTTTGTTTTCCGTGTACGTGATTAGTGTTTTTTTGTTTTGTTTTTTAACTTTTCCACCAAACATGTCCCTCAGTGGAGGTATATATGTGCGCCATGCATATGAAGTCACAGTCTTTGGGGTGACAGTGTCAGCTGAGGCAGTCCGAATATTTTGCATCTTCTCTGCCAAGTAGAAGAAAATAAAGAGCAGCCATAAAGTTCCTTCTGCTTCCCCTGTATGCCCAAAGCAATAAGATGTGACCTGGTGAGCTCCTACTCTCTTACCCTAGTTTGGGATTATTTGGGATGGGAAGATGGGAATTGGGTGCCAGATATTCTCCTCCTGAATTAATTTCTCTGTTGTGTTTTGTCTCATTTTGCTCTTTTGGGGTGGATGGAGAAAAAGCAAAAATCAGGAGAGTTCACAGAAATATTGGTGTGGTGCTTTATGTCCGTTAGCAGAGTGAAAAGTAATATAAAGTCATTGTATAGTGGGTTTGAAGCCTTTAAACTAGAGTTGCATCAGACATCTGATCCCTTTTGGGATCATGCCCACTTCTGAAGATCAAGAGCTGTGCAACTCCTGATACTTGTACAGCCCAAAGAGGATATTTGGCGCTACAGAAAAGTGACCCACCAAGTGAGATATCCTTTAATGCTGTTCCTCGACGCAGCTCTCAGAGCAGTTGTTGTTGCCTCATGGAGCACCCAAACCAGCAGTGTCAGCGTGGACTTTCCCTACTGATCACCACGCTACACACGTCTTTTCAGCGGTACCTACAGTCAGAGGTGTCAGGCCCACCGAACAGTGCTTATGCCATTGGCTTAAGTAAGGAAGGGAGAGAGCCTCTGCAGAGCACAGAAGTGCCTGGGCCTGTGAAACAGCCATCCTGTGTAGGTGGGAGTGCCAGACAGTCCTTGTGAGGATCTCTAACACCCCCCTGGACAGGCTTGTCCAGGCCTGCGTTGGCCCTGAGTTACAAGCGTGAAGAACTGACCCTTGGGAAAAGGTACAGAAAAGGTACAGCTGCAAATTACCTTTAACTGGATCAACCAGTGGATCTTGTCTTGCTATGTTCATGATGCAGCGTGAATGTAGACACTGAATTTTTCACTCTATTTTTGCAGTTAGACCATTAGAAGGGTCAAATGCTGTTTTCTCAGGAGTTGTCAATAGGTTTCTATCTCTATTAGAACAAATAACTAGTTTAAGTTTTAGTTTATGTCAGCAAGAACTTATCTGTGTAGAATTTATTTAGCATCCATTTCTTTTTGTGTAACTTTTGGGTCAATAGCAACTTCATCCAGACACTGCGTGATGATTTGCTCAGGGATTTTGCCATTGCAAACCAGTTTGGATAGGGGTCTTGCTGCTTAAAAGGTCATGTAAGTCCCCGAGTGCAATGAGGTGTCCGCTTGTCCTTGCCACGCTGGGTACCTGGCCGTTGTTTTTATGGTGACAACGGCTGCTTTATGTTGCAGTGGGTCGTGTTGTCAGCATGGATTTTCTGCTCCTGTGGATTCTATATCAGTAAAGAGCTGAGATGTTTGGATCTCTCCCAGGGAAACTCATGGACAAGACCTCTAGAAGAACCAGAGGTCTCTGGGTACTGAGAAGCCCTCCTTTTCCAAGCATGTCTCTTGCTCTTATCAGTGCTCTGCATAAGGCTCTCGCTGAGACTCGTGGCGGTCCAGCTGCTGAAGGGGAGCTGAAAACCATATGAGTTTCAGTCATGGTTGACCTGAGTTGTTCCTGGACTGGAGCCACATTGATAAAATTTCGTGAATTAAAATACCTGCAGGGCTAAGTCCTGTAGCCCGTGGAGTAGATAGAGCATGGAAAGCATCGTCTGCACTAGGCTGCATGTAAATTGGCAATCTGCTGTGCAGATATCCTATTTTGTTAGCTGCTGCTTGGCCTCTTCTGTGTCCTTGTCTCACAGAGTCGGAGATAATCAAAATTCCCTTATTTCTTCTGTTGCTCCTTCCTCCTCGCTAATTAAAGTTCAAGAGCAATGTCTGACCAATTATAGAATGAAGGAAGGACTGGAAGGGAAGGCCCTCTTCCTTATCAGTAATGGTAAAGCAGTTTCCAACATCTCTCTGTGCCTGTAATTAGTCTGTGGCCATTTGTGAATTAGAGTTTATGATGACTTCAGATTTACAGTGTTCTGTTACACAGCATCTGGGCCTGTCTCTGGACTTCAGCCAGTCTGCTTCATATAGGTGACAGGCTGTCGAGTGGAGGGCTTTTTCAGCTCTCCCTTTTACTTTATTTATGAACAGTTTTGAAATGAACTGAGGGGTTTATTTTTCACCAGAAGCCATTGTTATGGGAGTATTTGGAGGGTGAAGGTGTGTCTACTGAGAGAAAATACTTGATTGTAAGATGCGCAGGTTTTCAGGGCACAAGAGACATGCTTTGGTTACTGTTCATCCCAGTTATTAAGAAGTGAATTTATTAACAAGTGAAATCTTGTGAACTTACCAAAAAAGAAGCACACAAAAAGCAAAATCTTAATTACTTATGATCTACCTTGAACAAATGAGAAGATGATTTATTCTATTCCCTGAACATTTATTCTGTTCCCTGAGATGAGAGGTAGCATTCTTTTTTCCCCTACAAGAAACGTTTAAGATATTTTTTTTCTCTCTAGTCTGATTGTTTCTGCCCTTCATGTACCTGTGCTAGTTTTGTGCCTTGATGTTGGGAAACTCCTTTTCTTTTTACTTTTTTTTTTTCTTCTTTTTTTTTGTCTGAAAACTTTTAGCCAGGTTCTTGTCTCTCAGCCTTTCCTTTTGCCCTCTTGGAATTCAAAGTTCCTAGAGCTTCTATCCTTTTTTTTTGTGTATACAAGATGACCGTTCTGTCAGCTAATTGCAGTTTAAAACTATTTGTTTTTCTGCTTTGGGGAACCTCAGATGTTTTTTCTTAAGATGCAAACAGTTCTTGTTCTGGAGCTATGCATATACATGGTTTATTGCAAATCATGTGCAATCTCTTAGTTTTGAAAATAATTTGATGGTACTTTTTTTCCCCATCCCTTTTTCTGCATTGAACGTCTCAATTTGTGCCACCCCTTACCCCTTCTCCCCCCTACCACATTTATTACGTGATCCAAGTTTGAATAAGTCTGGTATTTTTTTGGGCATTCAAGGGTGGAAATGATAGGATGTTGAAGAAACTCAGTTGGAGAAAGCGAAGGTGAGAGAAACCTTGAATTTTGCTTCTTCCTCAACTCTCAAAGGAATATTTTGAAAAATGAAATCTGCAGTGTGTATGGAAGAGGCCTTGGATCAGTGAGTGCCTTCCAGCTCTAAGCACAGCATGCCCAGGGCGTGAGGTCTGGACCCATTGCTTGTAACTCAAGAGCTTTATCAGATCCCCAGATTTCACCCTTTCTCTTCAGTGGTAGCTTTTCCTGCAGCCTCTCTGGAAGCAGTGCTGTTGTCTTCCGCTCTTAAAGACAGGTACCTGGAGCACAGTGTGTTCTTATATATTGCCAGTGTTCATTCTAGAAACTCGGAGCAAAGCTAAGGCGACTTTCTGATTCCTGGGGTTGTGTATTGGCATCTTACCTATTGACCTGGCAGCGCCTTTCGTAGTGATTGCTGCAGGCTGAACTGTTACCTTGAGCTGGTGCTCGTTACCCAACTCTGTGAATGTTTTGAGATCTACAGAAGGGAAAAAATAATGCTGCGTGAATCAGAAGCATTACTGGCAGTCTTGTGCTTCTGAAGGGCTAGCAGAGAAAGGCCAAAGGCTCTGATCTTCCCAGAAGGCCCTATTGCTTGGAGTTAATAGTGATCGCTGCCGGTGTGTTGTGTCATCAGGTGCCGGGCGCGCTGACGCTGTGCCCTGTTTCCCTCAGCTCTGCTGCCGTGCCAGCAGTCGCTGTCGTGCTGAAGCCTCGTGCAGGTAGAAAGCTGCAGCCAGCCCTTGGGGTGCTCGAGGGGCACCTCGTGAGGCAGAGAATTTAATGGAATAGTGGTAAGACGAGTCGGATGTTAAATGCACGCTGTGAATACAGCTGCTGAACTCTGGCTATTTCCAGACCTTGGCTGACAACCGAGCATAAGGGACACTGGGTTTTCTGGTGCTTTGTATGGACACAGGGTATTAATTCATCTCCCCCTTATGGAGATGTATAGGATTTTGTTTTTCTCTGTACTTTTAAATGTAGAAACTACAGAAATGTAGCTTCTCTTGGACAGTTCCTATAATGTAAATAACTCCATGCCATCAGACATATTAAATTTATTTTTAAGATGCTTGGAAAATAAGTATGCGCAAATATGTTCCTTCCCCCTTTGCAGCCATGTGTTCTTTGGAGGGCAGAGGGGAGTGACATGAGAAGCTGCATTTTCTTACCCAGCA